GAGTCCCTAAGGAAGAGTCCCTCCCCAGCATCCTTGTAGGCCCCCTTCAGATATTGGAAGGCTGCTATAAGGTCTCTACGCAGCCTTCTCTTCTCCAGGCTGAACAGCCCCAACTTTCTCAGCCTGTCTTCATATGGGAGGTGCTCCAGTCCTCTTATCATCCTCGTGGCCCTCCTCTGGGCTTGCTCCAACAGCTCCATGTCCTTTTTATGCTGAGGATACCAGAACTATACACGGTACTGCAGGTGAGGTCTCAGAAGAGCAGAGTAGAGGGGCAGGATCACCTCCTTTGACCTGCTGGTCTTTTGATACAGCCCAGGATACGGTTGGCTTTCTAGGCTGCAAGCATGCACTGCCTGCCCTGTTTCAGTTTAAAGCCATCACCCCTTGTCCTACCACTACAGTCCCTAATGAAGAGTCCTCCCCAGCAGCCTTATAGGCCCCCTTCAGATACTGGAAGGCTGCTATGAGGTCTCCACGCAGTCTTCTCTTCTCCAGGCTGAACAATCCCAACTTTCTCAGCCTGTCTTCATACGGGAGGTGCTCCAGACCCCTTATAATCCTCTTGGCCCTCCTCTGGACTTGCTCCAACAGTTCCATATCCTTCTGATACTGAGGACACTAGAACTGTACACAATACTCCAAGTGAGGTCTCACGAGAGCAGAGTAGAGGGGCAGGATCACCACCTCCAACCTGCTGGTCACGCTTCTTTTGATGCAGCCCAGGATACAGTTGATATCTGGGCTGCAAGTGCACGCTGAAGCTGGCTCATGTTCAGTTTCTCATCAACCAAGACCCCCAAGTCCTTCTCCACAGGGCTGCTCTGAATCTCTTCTCTGCCCAACCTGTAGCTGTGCCTAGGATTGCCTCAACCCAGGTGTAGGACCTTGCACTTGGCTGAGTTAAACTTCGTAAGTCTGGCACTGGCCCACCTCACAAGCATGTCCAGGTCCCTGTGGATGGCATTCCTTCCCTCCAGCTTATCAACTGAGACACACAGCTTGGTGTCATTGGCAAACTTGCTGAGGGCACACTCAATCCCACTGTCCATGTCACTTTAACTGTGCTAGATAAAAATATCACATTTTGTGTCCTGGTTTCAGCTGGGATAGGGTTAATTTCCTTCCTAGTAGCTGGTGCAGTGCTGTTTGGTTTGGCTTCAGTCTGAGAACAGTGCTGATAACACACCAATGTTTTAGTTGTTGCTCAGTAGTGCTTATCTGATCAAGGGCATTTCAGCCTCTCATGCTCTGCCAGTGAGGAGGGGCACAAGAAGCCGGGAGGAAGCAGAGACAGGACACCTGACCCAAACTGGCCAAAGGGGTATTCCATATCACAGCACATCATGCCCAGTATAGAAACTGGGGGGGGAGTCACCCAGAAGAGACCAGTCGCTGCTGGGGTCGGGCTGACTATCAGTCAGTAAGTGGTGAGCAATCACACTGTGATTACTGCTGAGGTTTTTGTGTGGTTGGTTGGGGTTTTTTTTTCCCTCCTTTCCCCTTCTTAGTTTTATAATCTCTCCCCTTATTATTCCCTGTATAATTATTATTATTACTATTATTATTACATTGTACTTTATTTTAGTTACTGGATTGTTCTTATCTCAACTTGTGGGGTTTACATTCTTCCAATTCTTTCTCCTACCCCACCCAGGGAAGGGGGTGGGGTGTGAGTGAGCAGCTGCCTGGTGCTGAGTTGCTGCTGGATTTAAACCATGACATTTTGTCTGTAAACTTATAACTGGAGTCTAGGGATATGCTATACTAAATTATCAGCAAGAAGATATCCATGCAAGCTACAATTACAATTCATTTTAAGCAGTGGATGCTGTCCTATGAGAAGAGCCTAATGATTTCAATCCAGAGACTTTGAGTCTTTGATCACCTCAAAATTAAGGCCCACAGCCATCAGAATTTAAAACACATAGAAGAATTTGAATTCTTTGAACTGCCTGAGTAGTCCAATTCTGTTCCTTAGCACCTCTACAACAGTGGATGCATTCTATAAATTCTACTATAAACAGAGATAAATTATATTCTTCTGCTGGACTCATACATAAACAGAATTAACTGCTCAAAGAATTCCAAAAGCATTAACTCAGGCTTTAGCTGGAAAGGAGTATCTCACCATCTTATGTTAATGTCATTTTGAACAGCTGCCTTACAAAACCCAAGTAGTTAAAGGCAGAAATTACAGGATCTATATCTAATCCGCTCTGGTTACAGTTTGTTCGGGTTTTTTAACATTGTGCTTAAAACAGTTTTCCTAATACTTCTAGCTAGCTTTAACAGCTAAGCAAGCCCTCTCACATTAAAAGGCTAAACTACATCTAATTTGCTTTAGTGCCTACACTGTACCAGGTGGATGTATTGTTTCACATAGCAACATGTCACGAAGTGACAAGCTTCCTCTCAACTCCATTTTTGCCTCACTCTAGCTGATGACCTGTTTTGAAAATGGTGGCCAGCATTGCTACACTAAATGATTGAAACTCAAGAGTTGCACAGGGCATGCTTGAAGAACACAGACACAACTTACCTGGACAGCCCTAAATCAAGAAAGCTTGTTTCTTAGTGTCTGTAATTCTCTTTCAGGGGAGGGGTTCACAGGATTTATTGAGGAACAGCTCCACCCAAGTAGCTGAGTGTTAATGTTACGTTAGCCACTCAAGTTCAAAAGAGGGTAAATGAAGTTAACCAGGTCAAAACTGGCATTTGCAGCTGAGGCATATATACTGTTTATAAGGAGCCAACAGCCAAAGCAGGTAGCCGTCAGTTTCATGCACACAAAATACCCAAGGGTTTTTTTACTCATATCCTTCTCTTTTCAATATCAGAACATCCATCAGCTCACAGCTTAGGTCATCATTAAAAGGTAGGCAACAGCAAGAACCACAAAAGCAGCAGTAAAGCTAAGATTTGGAATGGAAGGATGCACAGGAACTCAAAGGGAAAAGGGAAATGCTGCAGCAGTATCTTACCTATTTAGGTGTACACACACACAAATACATTTTTAATGCATGTCTACTTCATCTGCATTTCAAGCTTGCTTTCTGCTGGACCCAGTTTGAAGGGGTCACAGAACAGCAAGTTACATTTGTTTTAAACATCACTGAAATGGAGACAGACTTGGGCTACTGAAGCATTTATTACTAACATACAAAATTAATTAAAAAAACCCCGCGACAGCTACAACAAAACAACAATCCACACAACAGCAGGCACATGGTTACAAACAGCATGAATCTCACTTTCATACTGCATTAAAAAAAAAAAAAAAAAACAAACAAAAAACAAACCAAAAAACCCCACAAACCAACAAGTATTGATAACGATTTGGTCAGTGGCTGGAACAGGCTCCTCAGGGAAGTGGTCATGGTACCAAGCCTGTCAGAATTCAAGGAGCATCTGGATGATGCTCTTAGTCATATGGTTTAGTTTTTGGTAGTCCTGCAAGAAGCAGGGAGTTATACTCCATGATCCTTATGATTCCCTTCCAACTTGAGATATTCTATGACTTGTGATCAGGTTACTGTATTATACAACAGTGAAGTTTATAGAGTTAATTTTAATACTGCCACAGCATTTAAGTAACTCCAGCTGACTCATTCAGAAACCCCACTTTCAGCTTCAGAATTCTGCACTCAAGAGAACTTTTGTCATGAATTGTGTAGCAGCAGAATTTGAGAGTCAGATTTATAACAGTTAAATATGTTATTTGCAACAAACATGGAATTTAAGCATACCTAGCTAGATTGCAGGGCTTTTAAATGCATTTCATAGTATTTAAGGCTTATACATCATTCTGTCACAGATTAAGCAAAAAAGCAAATGCTTTTAGCTATGGTAGGCTTCATTTAGACCAATGGTATTAATACCATTAAAAAGCACAGCAAGGTTTCTTAATTTGACAAACAAGGCATCTTGACAACTGTAAGCTGTCAACATTTAGGCACTTGAGACAGATTGAATTTTTAGAGTGGACATTATTGTCCCATGTAGTTTAGCCATTTGTGAGAGTACCCCTTCTCTGCATCACTTCCCCAACTCCATGATTATAGATTTTTCTCCAAGGCTTTTTTGACAGCTACACTTGCTAAGGCCACATGTTTGGTCAGTCAGCAGAGTACATGCATGCTATGCAGTTTATTCATTAGTGTGTTCAGGCTGTTTGTCTTTCTGGCTGGAAATTTTCTCCCCTTCACCTTTGCTCTCAGCATGCTGAATGCCAGGCAGTTGTGGGTAAAAGGGACCTACCAGCCAGTTGAGCGGGGTGTTGTTTACAAGATAATCCATCACATCATCCAGAGACTCCTTCATTTTCTTCAGCTGTCCTTTGCTAGTGGCAAGAAAGCTGTCTGATAATTCTTGGAAGGAAGATGCTGACAGAAAACTCTGGTAGACATCACCTGCCATTGACCCAACACTGTAAACCTGATCCTGCACATTCTGTGGCAGCCCCTGTAGGCTTGAGACCAGCGTGAGGCAGGTGGTCTGAAGCTGCTGAGTGAGGCTCCGTGCTATAGCTAAAGTTCTTGACTCAATAAGCTGGAAACAAAAAGCATAACAACATATTAGTATCTTTTTATGACTGTGGCAGCTTTATGCGGCTCAAGATACACAAAGAATCAAAATAAAGGGGATGTACATAAAGCTATAGCAGGTAATAAAATAGGTCTTAAGCATCAGAAGTCGGAGACTTTAAAGTACTTGATATTTCTTCAGTGCTCAAGTACTTTGTGGATCAGAAACACTGGTAGTTTCTACCCAGTGACAGACAAGTAAGCTCTTGTTTCAACTCTGGATGACACGTCACAACAGGCAAGTACATTCTAACCAATGAGCCTCTATTTAAAGCTACATGTAAGACTCAGTGAGCCTGCACCTAAGACTGCTTTATGCCGAAAAACTTATTTCTGGTCTGGCCATATCAAGTGAGCAAGTCCTAGCTGATCTAGATATGCATATCCCAACACAGGTTTACATGCTGAACAGGATGAGCATTCTCTTGGAAGGAGAATGAACACCAGAGTGTTGGCAGGAAATAGAGTCATTTAAGAGTTTGGGTGTCCTCTACTTTTCATAGTAGTCACTAGTCAGCTGCCCTGAGCTTCAGCATTCAGATGCCACACTTGCACATAAGCTTCTGTGCTGTTAAGATGCTGCGCACTTTGGGGACTGTTAGTTTGCTGTTACCTTAGCAGTATGTGATCCATTTATTTCTGGTTTATTTCTCTTTACCTCAGCACTCTGCAGTTCATCACCATCATTTTGGCCTGTATTTTTCTTCCATTCTACCCAGGATTGATAAAGCTTTTCCTGAGCATCAAGAAGTTTCCGATTGGCACTATTCATGTTCTTTCTGGCATACTCGATCTGAAAAACACCCAAATAAGGACGTAAAGCAAAGTCCAAGCAGTTGCAATAGGGCCACCTTACCTTACCAGCTTCATAACCTCCTTTTTAAATACTTCAAAAGTTCATCATAGATAAGTTTGGGGAATATAACAGTGTGTACCCTCTCTTCACAGGAGAAAACTAGAAACAGTTTTGAGACATCATGTAGTGCTGCATCAGCTATTTCCCTCTCCCCCACCAGCATCCTATTCAAGGATTTGAAAGTATATAGAAGGCCATAACTTTATGTACAGTTTGTACTGTACATTGTTAGGGTAAGACTACTGAAATACCCAAGAATGCTCAGAGACACCCACAGCAAGAAGAGCAAGGCATAAGGAATCTGACATTTTATTAACAAGAACTTGAAGGACTGAAGTGTTTCTAAATTGCAAAGCACTTCCTTCACTGAAAGAAGCCTGTTAAACCCAGCACTCTAGAACAGCAATATAATGTTCAACATGTCACTTCTATTTCTGCAGTGCTTAAATTTACAAGCAATAGCTAGTTAGTTTACAGCTCAGCCCAACTGAGGACCTCTCCTGAATGATGGCAAAAAGCACTGAACAAGAAATGCTTTATACTTAGAGAATGCATTTAGTCCAAAAGCAATTCTAGTTTTCCTATGCCTATTTTTGCCATTTTCTGCTGGACTCAAGCTATGCCAACATTTGGGTTTTATACCTCAAGTGAAAGCTAAACTTACCAGATTAACAGTGTGGTGGAGCTGAGAAATGGTCTCCTGGCTTTTCTGCTTAGCATCTCTAACTTTGTTTAAGGCTTGTTGGTAGGCACGTGTGCGAAACTTTGAAGACAGGGATCCTAGTCTAATGTAGTAGCTTGGCTTTTGAACTCCAGTTTCAAAACCTTCAACTTTTGCTGCTTCTTTCTCTAGATATGTAAAAAGGAAGCAAACTGACTAATGGAAGAAAACTTAAAAGGCCCAAGGTCATTTTATTTGTTTAGTAACAGCCAAATACTGGACGTGGTTAGTAGTCCTTTAGTGCCAGGGAAGGTTGATAGACCACCATACATGGAAATCCTTACTTCCAACCTGCTTCCTTATGAATAATATGCTATTATGACCAGCAAGCAAAAAGGCAGTTTGGGAAGCACATGCCCCGTTCCCTACTGTAAGTAATTAATGCAAATTTGCTTGCTTCTCCCCAATACAAGCATTCAAAAAAAAAAAAAAAAAAAACCAACAAAGCCACCCACAAAAAAAAAACCAAACAAAAAACCCCACACCAAAAAAAAAAAAAGCCACAAAAAAAACGCTAACAAAAAAAACCCCAAGAAAACCAAACCTTGAACTGGTCTTACCTAGTTCTGCTTCTGTAAGTGGGAGATACTGGTCTACAAGGGTCTCCGATTTAGTGAGAGCACTGTCCACTCCACTGCTCACCATTTGCACCACACGACTTCCCAGGACAGTGTTAATGCTGCCGTTGACAACTGACTTGGTCATTTCTACACTGTCTTGCATTGCTTCTTTAGTCTTGCCCATAACTCCAGTGATTGTGTGAGCAACAGTTTCCTTGGCACCAGACACAGTGGTTGTTACAGCTTCTTTGGCTCCAACAACTACACCCTTGGCATTGGCAACAACCTGCCATAGGAAACAGTTTGATTCCCTAAAGATTTCTAGCCAGAGCTACATAATCCACAAAATACAAGTTTATGTGACAGCTTGTACAGGTATCAGTGATCTAAGGAGAAATTCTGTCCTGAAAACATGTACAAGATGAAACGAAATAAGACTGCCACACAGCCTTCAGCTCCAAACACCTAAGTGAATGCAATTCACTGCAGTAATTCAGGGTACTATTTGCTTCACACAGAGCAGGAAACAGACAAGGACTGAAATTTCTTGAGAAGATGCCCACCAGTGAACAGCACCTACAGACAGGCAGATCTGTCAGATGGTCAGCAAGGTGGTTGTTCTTTTAAAAGAAAAAAAAAAAAAAAGCCTTAATGACCTCCCAAAGGCAACAAACAATTCTACAGAAACACCTTTCACTTCATCACTGCTTCTAAGCTGTGCTCCAGGCATAAAATCTGTCTCTCTATTTTTAGTGATAACAGAAAAGAGCAAGCATAGATAATTCTGCTCAGCATATGGACACGGAAAGAACTTACCTTGTCAGTGGGTTGATTCAGTATAGGCAGTCTCTCCTCAATTTTGTCTAGACCTATACATGCATAGTTGTTGGCAACAACAACTAAAAAAGAAATAAAAATAAAGTTTAATTTTTTTGTTGTTGTTTTGTTAGGGTTTTTTTCTCCTTAGTATAAGTAACTCCATAACTTCAACTGCAAATTCCTCTTGAAACAGAAACAAAGCTTTTAAAGTAGTTTCCTCCCCTTTTCAGTGAGATTTGAGACAAGGCCCAAGAACAAGGCAGGTTTACAATGCCAGTAAAAAAACTCACTTGCAGGTGGAGAAAATCCATTTGATACAAACAACTGTAAGAACAAGCTGAAGAACCTGGCCTTCTGCCACTTCATGAAACCAGCCTCATGGTTACAAGATCCTTATGACACAGTTGCCAAATTTAACCTGACTTGTCCTCAGTGAGAGAAAGTACAAAAGTAGCATTTGAAACCAAGTGAAGGGCAAGCAAGGTGTTGAGCAAGAAACTATGTAACCCTCTCAGATATCAAGATGAGTCAGCCAGTTCAGCATTATGAAGGCTGGATTCTGCTCTGGCTATGGATTTTTGGTTTGAGGGTTTTTTTTCTTTCCCCGTGGGGTGGGGGGTGTTGTTACATCATACCCATCTGCAATTTGTTGCTCAACAAGACAGGCAACAAGTTCAGTCAGCTACCTGAAATAGCACTCCAGACCAGCATGGCCATGCTAAACTCTAAGCACACCTGGATATATAAAGCTATTGGTTGAATTAAACTTAACAGCTCCATCTTTGCCTTACTTTGTGGTTCCAGTTTCTGGATGATAGGCATAGCACTTGTCACGGCTACTGAAGTAATTGTCTTCACTCCTTTCTCCGCTATCTCACATACTGACTTCAGATAAGGATGGTTATCCTTTGTAGTGATATAAGCTGTGGACACCATATCATAGGTGGAGCTCACCAAGGGAAGACTGACAACCCTCGATACAATGTTCTGTTTAAAAGAGAGGGAGAGGTTAGTTGATGCCTGTTGTTTTGAACTAGACATAAAAAACTATGATGCTAACTCAGACATACCTGCTGTGGATCAATTGCTGCCAATGCCATTTTCTCAGGTCTTGAATCCTGCGCAAGTCTGTGAAAGAACCATATCCAAGTTACAGCATCCTAATATCCACTTCATGTAGTCACCAGACTTTGAAACCAAAAACCCTTTTCTAATCAAGCCCCTTGATCAAGGGGACTAGGATGTTCACATCCTTACGTACAGGAATTACATTTCATTGTAGCAACTTAAAAATCCCAAACTTTGTTTATTAATTACTTTGTTCAGTTCAGGCAACACAACTAGGGCACATGCAAGACACAGGCTTTGAGGTACAGCAGTTCATTGCAGATTTACCCAAGAGTTACCAGTTGGCGGATTAATTTATTGTTCTAGAAGAAATAGACACACTTGGGCTTACCTGTTGAGCCAGAACAAAGAAAGGCTAGCCTTAACAAGTCACTAAAAATCTAATTTAAGATGCCTAAGTCAGATGAAGAATCCACTATCAGTATCTTTAACCAGATTAGATCTTCTGTTATCATAAGTGAGTAAAGGTTGACATTTGAGTCACCATTGCCATACTGATCTTGAAAACAAGTGGAAGATTGAAGGCAAGTATTCATTTCAGTACCCTCAGCTCAATTCTCACAAGTCACCCCACTAAACTAAAGGAGTTCATTATCTCTAGTGCTATGCCTGATGCTGAGCTCCCCCTGCTCAGCTTGTTCAAAGTCAGCTTCCTGTAACATGGAGCACAGGACTTGCCCCCTGCAGAATGTTACTCTCCTTCATGTTAATTTAGTCTTAATTATTACCCATCCCACACTGAAACAGGCTGAATACACTAGTCATTCAACAAGCCTATGGTACTCAATTATTTTCCACCATGTATTCCCATGGAGAAAATGCTAGCAGGTCCCCCCATATGAAGCCTATAAAAGGAGAGGGATATTGCAGTACCACATAAGGAGAACACACAGAAGTGCTCTGTCAGCCTATGCACACACAGAGGCTGAACTAAATCTCTAAGAAGCATTTTTTGTGTTGCTTTTATACAACACTTAAGTTCCAGAAGAACCTGTGGAATTGAAGGCAACAGAAAGGCAAGCTAAAATCCAGTCATCAAAACAACTGTGTTTTTCAAGACTTTCTGCTAGGTTTGTCAAAGAGCCAACAGCAGGATGGGAAACAAGGACAAAGGCACACTGTTAACATTTTGCAGGTATGTCTGCACATATTAACATGCACATGCTATAAGGTAATGCCTGTAATGAGATTAACCACTGTACATAGATCATACAAGCAGGTAACAGGCAAGAGTTACAGCAGTTACAGAAGTTTTCTTTTTGTCTATCAAGTATTGAAATACCCCCAGAAACATGTTTCTCACATAGCAATACAAATAAGGTTACCTATAGTACAACTGCATTTCACTTTGAACTGCAAAATATGCTGTAGAACAGCAGAAGAGGTTAGTGGCACAGAATCTGGCCTCTGAAGGAAAAGGGGCTCTTACTGTAAGGAAAACTTATTTGTAACATGTCCTGAAAGATCCAGCCACACACAGCATGGGTTTGAATTTTTTAGTCACTAAAATAGTGACTGCGTTAGCCTGTGAAGTCACTCCTGCTCTTAGGCAGGGAAGGCAGCTAGGATCTTGTGCTATTTCGGAGATCCCGAATAGTTTCAGCTCTGGCAAAAGCCTGACCCACTTCACGGGAGCAGGTGAGCGAGATGACTGAAACAAAGCCCACAGTACTAAAGTGTATTTCAGAGACAGCAAAAGGTCCCGAACAGGAAAGCGAATAAACCGAGTCATAGATTTGATTTCTATATCCCCTCTCCCCGCTATGGAACGAAGTTAAAAACCAGAGAGCAGCAGGATGAGCCATGAGCAAGGGCTCAGGAGCTTTCCGTGGCTCAGCGTGGTGCCCAGGGCAGGAAGGCGCCCCAGTTTCCAGGAGCCACCACAGATCTCTTGGGGTACGGACGGGACAGTCCAGTGCCTCTGCCGGGGGCCCACAAAGGTGCCCGAAGCAGCTCGCCGAAATACTCCGGCGCCTGGGCAGGGGCAAAGACAGAGGCAGGGGGGC